AATGGCCTAGTCAGGAAGGGGGGTAAATCCTCTGGAGGGCAAATGGCTAAATAAAAGTGAGCAAAAAAAAAAATCCCTGAAAAGACACCTCTGGAGTTGAGTGAACTCACTGTTTTGCACTACCAATGAGCTAGAAAACCCCCAAGTCGTCACAACCTATAAGGCTAGGTTCACATCTGTGCAGGTGGTGCCACTGCAGATCCGCACAAAAATCCGTGCAGCCACACCACCCGCACAGAGAAAGGTGGACCCGCGGGCGGGTGCCATTAGTTCTAATGGCATGCCACCTGCACTGAAAAACGTAACCATACTGGGAACCGAGGTCCCCGTGCGGGCTGCGTTTTCGGAAGAAGTGCAGGGACTTCTTCCCCGGTTGTCACAGGGCATGGGAGTCCATTCAAATGAATGGGCTCTCATGCCCGCGCAAAATATGAGCATATATGAGAACTGGGGCAAGACAGTGTATCAAAGCAACATTTTGGATAACAATCCTTTTAAAGTACATTAATACTGAATTCTGAAATACCTTTCCTTGACAAAAAATGTTGCTCAAGGTTACTGCTAAAGTTGGTCAAGCTATTTTCTGCTTGTATTTTCTTCTGCCATTGTACATATGTTATTTGGAAGGGAACAGTGGTCATGGATGATGTTCAGCAAGAACCTGTGCGGTGCAGAAGTTGACCTGCAATACTTCGAGGTTGGTGATATGTACATTACTGCTAGCAATACAGGTGGATTCTGTAAATCATCTTCTGTTCTGATGTAAAATTATATTGACAAGTTCAGTGAACATATGCTGGCCTTTGCTTCTGCCATAAAATACAGGCCCATATATCTGAATGTACAATTTTTAGATGAAGAGCAGCAGACAGAGGTCATTCATTACACTTTCACAGAAAAGGTTCCAGGAAATGAGAAAGACTAGCTTCTAGCTGCAGTGTTAAATTGCAATGCCACTGCATATCACTTTTTAAAGAGAATTGCAAAGAACTATTTGCTTATGGTCCTGGTCACCTAATACAACCACAATGTAATTTTGGAAGCACTATCACCCCCATCTGTGAAAGGATGGGAACATTTAAATATGTAGTTTTACCACTTTACCTTGGCATATTGTAAGGAAGAACAGATGTAAACTAAGAAACAATCTCTGCAACTATTTTGCACAAAGAGCTTCAGCTATTCTGCTCAATTTAAGCTGTGCTATTAATCAGCACAGTTTAGTAGAGGCGACATTAAGGGCCCATTCACATTTTTATGATGCGTTACAGAAAAATGTGTATTATGTTAAGGCAGTCCATTATTTGAATTGGCTGCCAAAGCATCATAGCCCAGTCAAAAATCAGATAGTATGTGTGTTACCATGCATTGTGATGTGCTGCAGTGCAGGCTGAGGTCTAAATCCCCATTCTTTATTTTAACCATCTTGGTAATGCCTTAAATACGGTTTTTCTCTTCCTCGATATGTGTTTTCTGCCCTCCCAACCCAGTGCCCTATGCTGACATTGATGAGTATTGGCACATTCCTTATTGCAATACACCTGTACAGCAGAAAAAGACAAGAGGGAGTGTATGACTAGGTCTCTTAAGCCTAGGACACACTATGATAAAATCGGAGGAACAATCGGCCAATTATCCACGAAGGTGCATATCATGATGTAAATGACAATGTTATTAACTTGTACAAAAATTCTCGGCTTATGTAGGCAAACGTTCTTTCTTGTGTATGATTTCTATTTTCTTTGTCACCTTCTTCCAGGTCGTTCTTTGCTTCTCATCATGCACGTTTTTTTTTTTTTAATTTTTGTTACAATACACATTGAGTGAAACTCGGACATTGTGTTCACGTACAATAAACAATTTCTAGCTTGCACTTTCTTTATTTTGTCCGAACAGTCAGAATTGCAAAGCCACTATACTAACAAACAGATGATCAACTGGCCATTACTCATATGGAAATTTTTGTACAATTTTCTGATCAGGTATACGGGTCTTTACAGTATAGTGTGCACCGGACAGTGTTGTCAAACTCTGTGCCTACTGCTCTACACAATGCAAGTGTACAATGCAAACACACACATACCTGTGTTACAAATGTCTGTGTGTATAAGTGGGTGCTGCAGCGACCGTTGGCTGGAACGGAACAGAATCAGCAAGGTAGAATGTCACCAGCACACAGAGGATCGCCAATATGGTTCCTAAAGTTTTAATAAACAATCATATGCCTGATGAAGGGGTTCTGCAAGACTACGAAACGTTGCCTTGCTGTAACTATGTGATCGTTTATGAAAACTTTTGGATTCATATTGGTGATCCTCCGTGTGCTGGTGAAATTCTCCCTTACTGCTCTACACAATCACATTTAGGGCCTGTGGTGGTGAGCTTTTGGCTTAAAAAGCTTTGACATCAGTTTGAAATGCTTCTGATATCATTCCAAATTCATTGACTGGTGCATCCGATCTGCAGTTGACTTCCTTCTGATCAACCACAAATGGGTTTTGCCTTCACATAGACTTGAATGGAAATTAAAAACCAGCATGAAGCAAACAAAAGCCTATCAGCATGGGCTCTTAGAGACACACGCTGTTCACACTGCAAGGGAATTTTCTCTAAGCTTAGTGAATGAGGTAAAGCTCTACCCACTTCCATTATCCAATCATGTGCAGAAACAAATACAGTTTTTTTAAATTCATGCACATGATTGGGTATTCATTTGCAAAGTGAATTTTCTTCACATTTACGAAGGGATAATTCCTTGCATATTAAAACTTTCTTACAAAGTGAACACCTTATTTGCCTTTAGTAAATTAACCGCACTGAGTGACTGCTATAATGGCAAAGACTATACAAATAGAGGTTGTTAGTCCCAAGTCTATCCAGCTAAATATATTTTTGTGTGACTTCAGTTGAATTTTAATTCTGTATTATGCATTGCATTAAAAAGTGTTCTTCCAGTTCTAAAGATCATCAGATTTCAATCACAATAAAGTGTTACTAAACCCACAACAGTAGAATCAGCCTGTATATGCAGTAAAGCATGCTTGTTATACTCACTGTGGAACCTAAGGGGTTAATCCTCTGCATTGTGTAAAACCGCTGTTTGATCCTGACGTCTCTTATCCTCCCCTTCTTCCTGTGTCCCCCTCTTATCTCTTGATAAGAGATATCGTGCGCAGTCACTCTGCACATGCTCAGTTTGATGTGTATTGCTAGAGAGTTTTTTTTCTTGGGAGAGTGCATGTGATCAGCACAGGGCCAATCAGCACTGTCCAGACAGAGGTCAGGGGTCATGCATCCTCCTACAGCAGAATGAAAACTCCTCCTACAAGCTTTAACATGTGCTCAGCTGCACACTGATAGAAGTCACAAGACTGCTCTAATGGCTGATGAGAAAAGGTATTTAGCAGTTTATATTTACTAAAATAATTGCACTTCCATGTTCTGTGTACTGTGGGAGACCAGATATAGTGAATGCAGAGTCCAGGGTTTAGTAACACTTTAATTTGTCACCTATGGTTTCAACTGTTTCCTGTGAGTGGTAAGTAAATAACTGAAATGAGAGTAGAAATTGTTACGTTGTAATCACAGCAGTTTCAGTTGAAAGGCAATACTGTCAATTAATTCTGGATGATCAAACTGATGTCAAATGCATGCTGAATTTGTCCAATGACGCAAGCTCAAAGCCCTTTGGGTGTTCTAACAAAAAGAATTTCTCTAACACACACTGGGCATACATTGTATAAATTTCAGCAGGTTTTCTTATGAACATGGAGAAAATTTGCTTAGTGGGTGGCCGTTGGTTGCCTCCTGTTAAATATTGAAAATTGAAGGATCTGGGATGAAAACTGTCACTGAAAGGGGGGTAGTCGTCCATCCACACTATTAGCATGCTGATCACAAGAAATCCATCAGTGTATAGTCAGCTTAACCAATTATAATATGATGTGAAAAAGTCATTGTAGTATGTGCAACAGACAAACTACAGCTGCTTGGATATATCGAGAACCAGAACTTTTATTATACCTCTTCTACTGCTTCAGCATAGGTTTTTATTATCTCTCACAAGTGAGGTCCTGTACTGCTGGACTTCTGTGAACAATGGTTGAAGTGCAAATCTGAAGATGTTTGGCTTTGATTAGAAAGCAACAGACACCAATAATGGGTACAATACAATCAAATATATTTTTTATTTAATTACACTCAGACAGGTGACATGGCCTACCTGTTGAACAGCTCTGAAGTTCTATGGCTAGCTGCCCACCCACTCAATAGATCCCTAGGGTTGCAGTGTCCTTCCTCTCTCAGTTTCCTGGACAGTGCTAACACATTGCCTAATTAACATGCTGCCTGGAGTTGCACTTTAAGACCTGATCACACCACTAACTGGGAAACAATTACATGGAAATCTTGTATCAGACGGGGACAAAAAACACTTTCATGTATTTTTTATTATTTTTTGTTCATTAAGTTTTGCCCATGTAAGTTTAGTTCTGACCACTTCCTGCAAGTGACAATTTCTGTCTATGTTGGCCTTTGTTCCTGCCTCTACACCCCTGATGCCACGTAGGCAGACACAAATATCATTTGAGTGACACCTGTGAGTCTGCCTGGGGCTGATAATGTAGCAAACAAGATGGCAGAGTCCAGCAACAGCCTTAGGTTTGTTGAACATCAAAAATGATCAGTAATTACAGGGAGAATGCCTGAAACAAGGTTATTTGACATATAACTCATGAGAAGACTGTTGGTAATATAACTAGTATGGAGACAGGGTCTCTTTAAAGCATTAGATTTAGCACTGATGGTAAAAAAAATCATTGGGTCTGAGACATAGTGATAAGTTAGTGTGACTGTTTCTCTGCAGTGAAGGAACTTTAATACATACTTGCAAGAATGTAATATATTATGCAGAGATTATCCCTGCCGATATTAAAAAAAAAAAAAAGATGATTTGAATAATTAGAAGACATTTAAAGCACAAATGCACATCTTCAGACAAGTTACATTTTCCAGAGGTTGGATTCAGGCTGTTTCCATTCTTCCCCCATCAACATATGGAAGTTAAAAGGCTTAAAGTACTCCAAGCGATGACTGGAAAACAAAAGAAGATAAAGTACGGTTCTAATTTTGTTAAATACATTGATAAGTGGATCCCCTTATTCATGCAGCTATTATTTCATTTTCAATGTACACGTGACTAGCTAAAAAAAAAAATATGTATTACATAATTTCACTTCACAGACTCTCATTTTCATTTCAATTCAGCTTAACTGGTTAGAAACCCTGAATCTGTTCTATCCACAATAGAAAGCTATATACGTAGTGTAGAATCATTGGTGCTGATCTATACAGTGGATATAAAAGGTCTACACACCCCTTTTAAAATGTCAGGTTTCTGTGATATATAAAAAAAATGAGACAAAGATAAATCATTTCAGAACTTTTTCCATCTTTAATGTAACCTATAAACTGTACAACTCAATTGAACAACAAACTGAAATCTTTTAGGAGGAGGGAAGTAAAAATAAAAAACTAAAATAACATGGTGTGCACACCCTTAAACTAATACTTTGTTGAAGCACCTTTTGATTGTATTACATCACTCAGTCTTTTTGGGTATAAATCTATCAGCATGGCACATCTTAACTTGGCAATATTTGCCCACTTTTCCTTGCAAAAACACTCCAAATCTGTCAGATTGCGAGGGCATCTCCTGTGCACAGCCCTCTTCAGATCACTCCACAGATTTTCGATCGGATTCAGGTCTGGGCTCTGGCTGGGCCATTCCAAAACTTGAATATTCTTCTGGTGAAGCCATTCCTTTTGTGGATTTGGATGTATTCTTTGGGTCGTTGATGTGCGGAAAGATGAAGTTCCTCATCATCTTCAGCTTTCTAGCAGAAGCCTGAAGGTTTTGTGCCACTATTGACTGGTATTTGGAACTGTTCACAATTCCCTCTACCTTGACTAAGGTCCCAGTTCCAGCTGAAGAAAAACAGCCCCAAAGCATGATGCTGCCACCACCATGCTTCACTGTGGGTATGGTGTTCTTTTGGTGATGTGCAGTGTTGTTTTTGCGCCAAACATATCTATTCGAATTATGGCCAAAAAGTTCAACCTTGGTTTCATCAGACCATAACATATTTTCCCACATACTTTTGGGAGAATTCAGATGTGTTTTTGGAAAATGTAGCCAGGCTTGGATGTTTTTCTTTTTAAGAAAAGGCTTCCATCTTACCACTTTACCCCATAGCCCAGACATATGAAGAATACGGGAGATTGTTGTCACATGTACCACACAGCCAGTACTTGCTAGGTATTCCTGCATCTCCTTTAATGTTGCTGTAGGCCTTTTGGCAGCCTCCCAGACCAGTTTTCTTCTCTTCTTTTCATCAATTTTGGAGGGACGTCCAGTTCTTGGTAATGTCACCATTGCGCCATATTTTCTTCACTTGATGATGTCTGTCTTCATTGTGTTCCATTGTATATCTAATGCCTTGGAAATTCTTTTGTACCCTTCTCCTGACTGATACCTTTTAACAATGAGATCCCTCTGATGCTTTGGAAGCTCTCTGTGGACCATGGATTTTCCTGTAGGATGTGACTAAGAAAATGTCAGGAAAGACCTGCTAGAACAGCTAAAATGTATTTGGGGTTAATCAGAGGCACTTTAAATGATGGCAGGTGTGTACTGACTCCTATTTAACATGATTTTGAATGTGATTGCTTAATTCTGAACACAGCTACATCCCCAGTTATAAGAGGGTGTGCACACTTATGCACCCACATTATTTTAGTTTTTTTATGTTTACTTCCCCTCCCTAAAAGATTTCAGTTTGTTTTTCAATTGAATTGTACAGTTTATAGGTCACATTAAAGATGGAAAAAGTTCTGAAATGGTTTATCTTTGTCTCATTTTTTACATCACAGAAACCTGACATTTTGACAGGGGTATGAAGACTTTTTATATCCACTGTAGTTGTTGAAGCAAAGAAAAAACAAAATTTGTGCCCACAGCAGCCAATCATGTGTATCGTCTGGAGTACATTACCTACAGTATGTGCTGCACATCTCAGCACCAATAAGCTGTAGAGATCATCAGGCTAAGCATGAGGATTAATGCAGGAGCAAGGGACAAGAGAAGCAAATATAGGGGCCCGTTCACACCAGTGGCTGCTGGTGTGAGCTTTGAAGGTAGGGGTGCCGATTCATTGTAAACAATGCATCACACTGTTTACTTTTTTGGTTTTATTGAAATATCTCAAAATTATGTTTAAGTGCTAATTCACGCATGTGCAATGCGGACTGAAGCTCAGGTTTCACAGCTAATTGGTACAGTAGTTGTTAAGCAGTTCAGGTTTACATCAGGTTCAGGACAGGTTTAGATGAGGTTCATGTCAGGATTTTATCCTGTTTACAACTGATGACGTGCAGTTTAGAAACAGTTCCCATGCAAGTCAATAGCCTGTAATCCACACCTGAACCGGACCGCACTGCTCAGAAATCGGATATGACTCTTTTTCAATCCGCACTACCAGTGCACTGGACATATGTGAACAGGCACCATAGAAAGCAATGTTATTTCACATGTCATGCTGATTGGATGCGGTTCAAACCGCATCCAATCCGCATATATGTGCACTAGCACTTACTCAGCTTTACTCTCTGCAGCAGGTTGCAAAGTGGTGTACTGTGTCGCAACACACTGCACTGAAAAAAAGTAAAGCATGTCCTAGTGATCATTTATCTGAAGAAGGTAAGGAATATTTACATTTACACTGATCACATATACTAATATCAATAATTCTCATGATGTCACTAACAGTTAACCAAAGGGGATAAAAAAAACAACCTACAGTATGTGGCCACTCTTTGGCATATAGATTAATACCTTTGAAATGGGGGGGAAAAAAAAAGTTCTGTTCCCATGATGCAGTATTTTGCACGGCATGTCAGTGCTGTCAGTCAACACAAGTTGCCGAGTAGGTGGGTACATAAAAAATTCACATCTGTCCAACTGCAAAGAAAGCAGAGAAAGTTCCTGCTTGGGTATAATCATTACAAGAGCTTATCAATTTGAATAACAGGCTCCTCTATGGTACCAGAGTTCTACTTTATAATGAAGGAAAGTTTCTTGGAAAATAGACCAATTGTCTATTTTTGCTCTTACAAACCCTCCTGCGAACCCCCTCCCTTCGGTGAACATCACTATACACATCGTGTCTATAGCTAACAACTTTGCCAAATGTCTCCAGTCAGCAATTAAAGCCTGAACAGTAGCTGTGCTTCAGTTCCAGCTGCCTTCTTTGTTTCCTTTTTGCCTTGAAAGCATTGTAAGAAGAAATCAATCATTGCTTTCACATAATAAAATAGTTGTCTACATCAATATTGGCAACATGGCCATTTCACACTTACAAATCAGGTCGCTGACCCACTTGTATTTCCTTTTCAGGTACTGGATAAAGTGACTCATAGGTTCTCTGTGAGCCAGAACCATGTATAGCATACGCATTGAACCGGTCTACTGAAGGAGGGAAGTATTCCCAGGGCAGCAGAGCACTGCCTCTCCAGGTCACCTCTTTTATGGATGCTTCAAAGGACAGTGGTAGACACTCCTGTGCAGGGAATCAACCAGGATATTGTTACACATATACACTTATCCTCAGAATTACATAAAGACCTTAGAAAAAACATGGTATGCATATTACAATATATCCTCCGGTTGTGGAAGCGTGAAGGACACAGTCTCCTCTTGACAAAGACAAATGTAACATGCTAACAAACACGGCTGCTGAAGAGACAGGCCCATCCATATTTGCACTGAGGAATTCAGTGGTCTCATGAGGAATTGCTAGTTAGCTATGCTATATATGGATAGGACTACATGAAATTTCTCAGGGGAATGGAAATGTCCAAAAGAATTTGAATGCAAGTTACCTTGCATTGCTTATGAATGTTTAATCTGTGAAGGACAGGTACAAAATAATAGTGTACAAGATAGCATACTGTAACATTATGAAATAGGAAAGATGAAACTAGGTGCTGAACACATAACAAAAAGCAATTTCATGCTCAGATATTTTAGAAGTTTGGTGCCAAAGTAATCATTACAGTTCCGAAGATCTAGATGTACAGTATATCATGACCATACCACCATGATTTTAAACTTCAAATACTCAGTGTAATACTCAATACTTATTTACAGTTCAATGGTGTTCCTGTTCACCAACACTTAGTACAACAGGCCACAGAGGTTTACTGATTTCCATGGTCATTTCAGAGACTATTTTCATTCCTTTTTTTACCGTACATCTTTGTTTTTTTGTACTTTCTGCTGATATTTTTAATCTCTGTTAAAGCTGAACATTAAACAATTAACTATATATACAGTTTAAAAACATACAGGTATATGTTAGTGGTACCTGCTAAAGCATTTGCTATCCTGTTCAGCCAATCTCATGATTCAGACAGTACAGCCAGACCCTTGACTTTCTATGTAATACATGTTTGAACAGAAACACTCCCCACCAGTTTGCTGACTGGGCAATCAAGGACCAACACCATCTTGATGGGTAATTATTTTGCTCACATTATCCTCTCCTCCTGTCACACACTATACTGTATACTGTGTGTGTATTTTATTTATTTTCTCATATATATATATATATATATATATATATATATATATAGTTCAAAATAATAGCAGTGTGTTGAAAGAAAGTGAATAAAGCTCAAAATCCTTCTAATAGTTTTTATCTCCATACACACAAATACATTGGGAACACTACACATTCTATTCCAAATCAAAACATGAAGAAAAATATATCACATTTGTGTTGTTCCTCTAAAAAAATTGAAGAAAAGTGAATATTAGACTGTTCAAAAAAATAGCAGTGTTTGTATTCTTCTTTACAAACTCAAACATTCACTATATAATCTGAAAAATGTTTGAAGATTTTGCTTTCCTTTGAATCACTTAATGAATATTTAGTTGTATAAGCACTGTTTCTGAGAACTGATGTACATCTGTGTTGCATGGAGTCAACCAACTTCTGGCACCTGTGAACAGGTATTCCAGCCCAGGATGATTGGACTACATTCCACAGTTCTTCTCTATTTCTTGGTTTTGCCTCAGAAACTGCATTTTTGATGTCACCCCACAAATTTTCTATTGGATTAAGATCCGGGGATTGGGCTGGCCACTCCATAACGTCAATCTTGTTGGTCTGGAACCAAGATGTTGCACCTTTACTGGTGTGTTTGGGGTCGTTGTCTTGTTGGAACACCCATTTCAAGGGCATTTCCTCTTCAGCATAAGGAAGCATGACCTCTTCAAGTATTCTGATGTATTCAAAGTGATCCATGATCCCTGGTATGTGATAAATAGGCCCAACACCATAGTATGAGAAACATCCCCATATCATGATGCTTGCACAACCATGCTTGACTGTCTTCACAGTGTACTGTGGCTTGAATTCAGCGTTTGGGGGTCGTCTGACAAACTGTCTCCGGCCACTAGACCCAAAAAGAACAACCTTACTTTCATCAGTCCACAAAATGTTGCGCCATTTCTCTTTAGGCCAGTCAATGTGCTCTTTGGCAAATTGTAACCTCTTCAGCACGTCTTTTTTTCAAAAGTGGGACTTTGCGGGGGCTTCTTGCAGATAGCTTGGCTTCACATAGGCATCTTCTAATTGTAACAGTACTCACAGGTAACTTTAGACGTTCTTTGATTTTCCTGGAGCTGATTGTTGGCTGAGTCCTTGCCATTTTGGCTATTGTTCTATCCATTCAAATAATAGTTTTTCGCTTTCTTCCACGTCTTTCAGGTTTTGGTTGCCATTTTAAAGCATTTGCGATCATTTTAGCTGAGCAGCCTATCATTTTCTGCTCTTTTTTATCTCCACTTCTTCCCCACTTTATCCCCACTTAATCACTTTTCCCCCTCTCCAATCAACTTTTTAATCAAGGTACGCTGTTCTTCTGAACAATGTCTGGAACGACCCATTTTCATCAGAATTTCAGAGAGAAATGCACTGTAACCAGCATGTACAACATTTGCTGCCTTCCTTCCTTAAATAAGGGCAATAATTTGCCACCTGTTTTTCATAGAATGAATGACCTCACTAATAGAACTCCACACTGCTATTATTTTGAACATGCCCCTTTCAATTAGTGATTCAATTACACAGAATCAGCAGCATGCATGTCATGACTGTTGGGTCTGTTGGATTTCTATTACTCTACTACACCTGCTAGTAAATTATTTGCCATGTAGAAATATCATTTCTACCAAAAACAGAGATTGATCAGGTTAGTGATGTCTGACTGCTATTATTTTGAACACAACTGTACATATAAGCTCGAAAGAGCAGGGCCCTCGAACCCTTCGTGTATTGTATTGTTACTGTCTTGTCTCATGTTCTGTCCCCCTTGCTACTGTACAGCGCTGAGCATACCCTTTGGCGCTGTATAAATACTGTATAATAATAATATATATATATATATATATATATACACACACTTTGTCTCCGTTAGGGCTGAATGAGGTCAGTGCTAAAATGAAATCTGTTTTATTATATCAGTTTATTGCAAAAGAATACTTTGAAGGGCTGTTGTAAATACAGTGTGTGTGTATATATATATATATATATATATATATATATATATATATATATATATATATATAATACATATATCATTTTGGATATACTTTTTTATTTTTTACATTTTAATACATATTTAATATCAATGTTGATCAATATGTCCTGAGGTTTACTATTTTATAATTGTTCAGATATATTTTAAAGGCTTACTTATTTTGAATTTTTCATTTTGTTTTATAAATCTTATGATAGGTAACAGTGTAGTAATGTTTTCCATTCATTCTGTTGGAAGGCAACATGTTTTTATATCGGACATTTATAGATTCTTACTGCCTGGTTAACATAGAACCATTTGGCCTGTTGGATGTCATCTTGGACTGTCAGAAAAACAAGAATTTACAACAGAGCATGTCTAACCAAAGATTGCATACTAGAATCCTGGTCCAGGGAGTTTACACATACCCTCTAGCAGGGGGGTATGGAGATAAGAAAGCCTCAGCTCAGATTCCCTAGTGACACTAAGATTAAAATGACAGATTAGGAAGAAAACAGATATGGACTGGAATGTTGACCTGGGCCAAAACATTTTTGGCAATATAGCAGTGCCCCCTGGTGGAGACAACAACATACTTCCAGGCGGATGGCTGGGGTAATACTATACTTCCTAGAGATTAGAGAGGACAGCTCCTTATAAGTTATGAATTGTTGCTCATTGGACGAAGGACTACATCGGGCGGGTCGAGGGTGTTTTGTGTGGGTGGTGACTGTGAGTGCTTTAAATGTAACGGCCAGCCATGGCCTCCTCCCTCTTTCTACCCAGAACCCAGTCAAATGATACTCAATTCTGAGGACAAACATACATAATGTATCACCTCTGCTCTTATATTTCTATATTCTCTGTAATATTTGTTTAGATTTCTCTGTTAGTGTTTTACTTTATTTGTAAATAAATAAGTCTTTTGCTTCTTTGAGCATTGTGTTTATTTTTATAGCAAATATCGTAATACATTATTACCGTCAATATTGTCAGAGCTTAGACATACTAGCTAATTATAGTACATAGTTTTAATATAAGTAGTTGGAAATCCAAAAACAACTGCCTATTTATTTCACATTCCCTTAGCCCACATTTGTTTGTGATGATTCTAGTGTTGTCCAATGACAAGTGTAGCTGCTATGCATACTATATATCATGTACAGCATTAAACAGGCTTGAGAAAGGGGCGGATGCACAGAAATCCATTGCCTGCCATAACCCCGCTCACTCCTGTCACTGGGTCTGTGTGCTTTGCCCTGTGACATACTGATAATACTGTGCAGGGCTATATTTTGGTCTTTGCTTGTTAGTTCAGGCTTCTGTCATCACTGGATAATGCATGTCCAAATGTAAGTGAATGTTTTGTTTTAACTCATTAAAACTACAAGAAATGTATACATATCTGCACCCTTGCTGTCCTTTTCATGTATTTTTATATATAAATGGTGTTAGTGTTAAAACTAAACTCTAAACAGACAAAGAAAGACACAAATCACATCATTAAATGTTTTTTTTTTTTAAATACAAACATTGAAGCAGTAAAGCCAAGAAGTTTATGTGCTCATAAAAAGCATGGTGGTAGGAGGAGAAAAGGGATTTTTTTAAATTATATCCTTGCAAATACAGTACAGGCCATAGACACTGGTTTATTTATTTCCACCTTCAAGTAATTGGACACACTGGCAAACAGAACGTTTTACAGCTCATATAAACACCGCCCACTTCCAGCAATCCACAGTTTTGTATCAAGCAAAAGGAGGAAAATGCTAGGCGGGGGATTGCCTTTGTCCTGTACTGAGCTTTCAAGAAAAGAATTTTACAGATAAGTCAAAACTCCCTTTTTCCTAGTTGCACAGATAAAGACACAGGCTCCATTAGACATAGAGACGGGAAGGTCCCCAGACAATAAATTGGAGAGGTGAGCAAACACAGCAAATAACGCCAACATGCCCATAAGGAGGTGAACAAGGAA